AGGGGGAAGCACGAGGAGCCCGGGAACAAGGGGCCTCGGTCCTGGGTCCTGCCGCGGGGGGGGGGCCGGCGCTTCCAGGCGGCGGGGCCGAGCCGACGGGTTGGGGAGCGAGGGGAGGGAGGGGGGAAAAGGGGCGGAGAGGAGAGGAACAGGATGGCGAGGGGAGGAGAGGGAGGAAAAGGGATGGAGAGGGGAGGGACTGGATGGCGAGGGGAGGGAGGGGGGAAAAGGGACGGAGAGGAGAGGAAGAGGATGGCGAGTGGGGGGAGGAGGGAGAAACAGGGAGGGAGAGGGGAGGAACTGGATGGCGAGGGGAGGGAAGGAGGAAAAGAGATGGAGAGGGGGGGGGAGGGAAAGGGTGGCGAGGGGAGGGAGGGAGTAAAGGATTGGAGAGGGGAGGGACTGGATGGCGAGGGGAGGGAGGGAGGAAAGGGATGGAGAGGGGAGGGGAGGGAAAGGGTGGCGAGGGGAGGGAGGGAGTAAAGGGTTGGAGAGGGAAGGTACAGGATGGCGAGGGAAGGAAGGGAGGGAGGGAGGAGGGAGGGAGTCGAGGGACGAGGGGGAGGAGGGGGGGGGGGAGGAGGGGGTCGCAGGCCGAGGGGAGGTAAAGGGTGGGGGGGGTGAGGATGGTGTCGAAGTAGATGGGGTCGGCGTGGAGAAACATGCCTTGAACTCTGAATTACATACTTTGTCTCGCTTGGTCTCGTCTGCGTTCCCCTTCCCTTGCCTCCCGCGCTGTAAGCGGCGCACGGGAGTCGGCGTGGGCTCCACGTCGAGCCGCATCGCCGATGCAGCGGCGATGCGGCGCGATCCACCGACCGGAAGGGAGGTGTGGAGGATGAGCGGTGGTAGCAGCAGCGGCGCTGGCAGGAGAACTCGCGGGGATGGCTGCGAAGGCGAGGGCAAGGGCAGAGGAGAGGGGGGCCAGGAAGGGACGGGGTGGATAAGGGGCAGTTGTAGCAGCAGCAGCAGCAGCAGCAGCAGCGGCGGCGCTGGCAGGACGAGCGGCGAGGATGGCTGCGCGGGCGGGGAGCGAGGACAGGGGAGGCACGGCGGTCGACTGGCGACGAGAGGCTCGGGAAACAGGAAAACACCGATGCCGCTCCTCCCTGGACCCCGCCCTGGGTGAGATGCGACCAGCATCTCGAGGAAAAACCCGACCGCGGCGACGAGGGACCTCCGGGACGAGCAGCGGCATCGGCACGGGCTCCTCCCCCGAGGTGCAGGCCGCGCCCTCCGCGCCGCCCTCGGAAGAAGAAAACCCTGCACAAACATTAACTGTCGGAGCTCCGCAGATTGATGTTCATACCGTGGCTTCGTCTTCGAGTGCCCTCTCTTCCCCTGGTTAGATGCTCATTCTGGGGACCTTCCTGTAGCCACTCGCTCCACTCGTGCGTCGAAGCTGCGTCGAACCTGAGTCGAACCTGAGTCGAACCTGAGTCGAACCTGTGTCGAATCTGTGTCGAACCTGAGTCGAACCTGAGTCGAACCTGAGTCGAACAGATCCGTTAGGTGGGCCCCAGGAAGGTCCCCAAAACGAGCACCGAACCCCGGGATGCAGGCCGCGGCGGGGAGCGATCTCCGGGACGAACAACGGCATCGGTATACCGGCATACCCTGATATCCGGTGTTGCGAAAAACTGAACATCGCGAAAAATCACAACCAAAACTCTCGAGACATTTTCGAGCCGGATCGATCCGTGAGGCTCCCGGGGCCCGAAACGTGGCAAAGTCGCCCGTATCTGTATCTCTCCCTCCCCCGAGATGCAGTCCGCGCCCTGCCGTCCCAGACACGCGACGTCCTGACTTCTGTGCTTGTCAATGCGCGGCCCCCGGAAGTTGAAAACCCGACCCTCTCCCCGGGACCGGCTTGTCATCCCGAGTCGCTCTTCGACGGCCCCGGGACCCCGTGAGGGCCCCCAAGCCAGATTTTCGGCGATGCGATCATGTCTGGGGTGCCGTCCTGGTGCCCTCCAGCATGCCCATCAGCTCCGCGTAGATGCAGCCGACGGACCACACGTCGATGGCCTCTCTGGCGCTCCGACTCCGCCCGGGGCTCCTCCTCCTCCTCCTCCTCCTCCTCTCCCCTCCTCCTCCTCCCCCTCCCTCCTCCTCCTCCTCCTCCTCCTCCTCCTCCTCCTCCTCTCACCTCCTCCTATCCTCCTCCTCGCTCCTCCCCTCCTTCGGGTCCTTTCCATTCCATCCATTCCATTCCATTCCATTTCCATTCCATTCCATTCCATTCCATTCCAGTCCATTCCATTCCATTCCTCCTCCTCTTTCTCCTCCTCCTCCTCCCTCCTCCTCCTCCTCCTCCTCCTCCTCCTCCTCCTCCTCCTCCTCCTCCTCCTCCTCCTCCTCCTCCTCCTCCTCCCTTCAGCGCCCCCCCTAGGGCCACAAGGATGGCCCGAAGGGCCCGAAGAGGCACTCCAAGGCCACCCCCTTTCTCACAGAGATCCCTCGATTCATCCTGTTGCCGGCGGAATCTGGCGAGAATCTCGGAGATCCGGCGGGTGTATCGGGCACCGCGGCCTTCCCAGAGCGTTCTGGAACGCTCTGAGAGCGTTCCGGAACGCCCTGGAACGGATTGATCCTCGTCCTAGCCCCGCCCGATCTGGGGCGACGAAATGTATACGTGATTACTGCTCCACCCATTCATGCTCGCGGCCTCACTCAAAGCACGACGAGTTCGGCCTCCTGGGGTCCTCGCCCGGCCACGGAACCGTCAAGCTGGGCCCAGGGAAAGCCAGCCCTGGGGAACAGGTCGGGACTGTCGGGGACCCCAGATGGAAAAAAACAAGACTTCGCATGAAGGGACCTCTGGACGAGACAACAGCTTTTCCATAATAGCACAGCCAATCTGCGGCGAGCCCTGGGGGAAGCAAGAGGGGGCAGTCCTTCTCGGAGGGCGGCGGGGCTTCTCCGAAGCCCTGGCACCTTCTGAGAGGCCGCCTGTCTCCAGAGACGGCTCAGAAAACCATTCACAAGGCACGAAGCCTTCTGAGAAGCCCCACCGCCTTCTGCGAAGAAGGCCTGCTCTGGGACGCACAGATTTCGGAAACCCTGAACCCAAAAACTTTCTCATATCTTGGAGGACAACTTTTTAGTTCCGCCGCGTTCCGCCGAGCTTCCGCCGGCTTCCGCCGGCTACAGCCAGCGGAGGCGGCCTCGTTTTACTTCCGCCGACCTTCCGCTGCCTTCCGCGGCGGAAGAGATGACAACTCCTTCGATCCTCGAAGGCAAGGCCATTCTTGGAACGCTCCACGTCCTGCTTGGAGGCGCGCGTCCGACCCGAACATATAGTATACCTATCTTGTAGTATATCGTTTCCCGAGCGGTGTGGTCAGAAATCGCCCGCCACGACGCATGTACTATAAGATGTCTCGGTGCGCGCGTCGCCCCTGGGGCGCGATGCACACATAGTATTAGCATGTTGGGGCGCTGTAAGCCTTCTCCGAGGCCACAGACGGCTCCTCAGAAGGCGCCAGGGCTTCTGAGAAGCCCCGCCGCCCTCTGAGAAGGCCTGCCCCTATGGCACTTCCTCCCCTGGGCTCGCCGCTCAAGACTGGGACTGGCACCGGCTTCCCCACCCCGCGAGCCGAGGTCGCACACCCGCAAGCGCGGCCCCTCTTCCGACGACTCGGCGACGAAGCACACACACGCACCGCGCCAAAAAGGAAACGCAGGTTCATCAGGAGAGAACTTGGGATCGGAAGCGACAGTGACACCCCCCTCGCCGGCACGCGGCCTGGCTTCCGAGAGCACGGCCAGGGCAAACACGCGCGGCGCACGAGCAGGAACGCAACTTTCTCGCGCGCGGGCCAGCTGTCGCTAGGACTGGCGATCGACAAAAACACAAAACACACACACACACACACTCACACACACACACAACACACACACAAAACACACACACACACAACACACACACACAACAAACACACAACACACACAACACACACACACACAACACACACAACACACACACACACGCCGCTCCCACGCGGGAGCGCAGCGTTCAGACGAGACCGGCGGGAGGCGCGGGCGAGAGCAGCACTCCGCCACCTCGCGCGGAGCCTCGCCTCCGCCGGTCGAGCACGTCCGCATCGGTGGGGCGAGAGTGGCAGCATCGGGCTCTCGCGCAGGATGTGCACCACGCCCCCCCTGCTGCCGTACAGTCTGCGACGCCGGCGACAGCACGTCCATGTGTAAAGACCAGGGAGGCCGCGGATGTTGCTGCCATGGTATTTGATGGGCGGGGGGAGCCACCCGCTGATGGTTCGAGGACTGGCAGAGCACCCGTTTGCAACGCGCCCTTTCTAGTGAAGGTCTCCAGGGGCACTCCACGCGCGCAAAGGCACCGCATTCCGAGTGGACCCAGACGGGATAGCTAGTCGACGTCCTAGAACAAGCTAGTTGATGTATCCGGCAAAGCACACGTCGATTAGCGAAGCCGACTGAGGACCGCACTGGCAGACTCGAATGCCCATGCCAAGTGAATCGGTGCAGATTTCCTCAGCCGACTTGTCTGTGTGGGCGCCCTCTCAATGCCCAAATGGCTGCCACCAGGAAGCCTTCCTTGTAAGGGAGTGGAACAAGGTTAGGAGTAGGAGTCAGGGTAGTCACCTCGAGCGAGCCAGGATGGCTCGCCCGCTCGCACCCTCCAGCCCCACAGCATAAGATCCAATACCGGCACGGCTGGACTTCGGGACTGCTGCGGCCAAGACGCCCAGGAAGACCTCCAAGGCCGCCAAGATTGCCCAACACCGCTCCAAGACGCACCCAAAAGCGCCCCTCAGAAGTGCCCGA